TTCCTGCTCCTCTGATGCTGCTCGGCCTGCTGTGTTCATCCAGATCTACACCTTGTTATCTCAGATTCTCCAGCATCTGCAGTCCCTACTATCTCTGAAACAAGCGATTCAGACCTTCCTTGTTATTCAATAAGATCAGAGCTGATCTGATAACTCTACATTCCCTACCTACCCCGATAACCTTTCACCCCCTTGTTTAACAAGAATCGTTCTACCTTTGCCTTAAAAATATTCAAGGATGTAAGATATTGGTTGCTGTCCCACTGGAAGTAGCCAGAATTATTTAACCCCATAAATGCTTTCTATAGGTAAAGAATATGTGCAGCAGATGTGGGGACAAAACAGTTTTGTTCAACTGGAATTTGTTTTCAATAAGAAATGAATCTCTGATAATAAGCACTTTGCTTTCTCTGTTTAAATACAATGTTTCCAAGGGAAGGTAGATCATCAAATGTTCTTGACGGAATCTATAATTTTGGGAATGCTCAACATGAGTATTGTCTAACAACAGCAATCACTGCTAGTCGAGGTGTTCAACCTGTCTCCCAGGTCATGGCAATGTTAAAGATACTCACAAGACCTGTCCAAGAATATGCAAGTTATTCCTGATGCCTTGGGTGAAGACATAAAAATTAACCAGCATCACCAAGTACCGATTAAAAGCAAAAAAAACCCAGAAATTGCTGGAAAAGCTGAGCAGGTCCAGCAGCATCTGTGGAGAGAAATCAGTGTTAATGTTTCGGGTTCAGTGACCCTTCCTCAGAACTCATGGTAGCTAGGAAAGGAATGGTTTTTATACAGAAGTTGTGGCAGGGGGAGGAGTAAACTGGAGATAAAACCCAAAGAGAGAAAACAGTTTAACAAAGGATTTAGATAAAGACAGTCTAGAAGAATGAATACTAAAGGTGACTATTAGTAGCTGCAATAGGTTGCGTTTGGTAGCAGCCCATGTGATGACAAGGCCTGGTGTGTGGGGGTGGGGTGTATGTTGATTAAAAGCACTTACTTCTGATGTTTAGGAAAGCATGATGTGTCTAAGTGCCGTATTGCATTTCCTTACACAACAGAGGCAGCACTTAGAAAGCATTTTTAAAAATTCATTTGTGGGACATGGGCCAGCATTTATTGCCTAGACGCCCTTGAGAAGGTGAGATAACAAGGTGTAGAGCTGGATGAACACAGCAGGCCAAGCAACATCAGAGGAGCAGGAAGGCTGACGTTTCGGGCCTAGACCCTTCTTCAGAAATGGGGGAGGGGAAGGGGGTTCTGAAATAAATAGGGAGAGAGTGGGAGGCGGATAGAAGATGGATAGAGGAGAAGATAGGTGGAGAGGAGACAGACCGGTCAAAGAGGTGGGGATGGAGGTAGGGAAGAAATAGGTCAGTCCAGGGAGGACGGACAGGTCAAGGGGGCGGGATGAGGTTAGTAGGTAGGAGATGGGGGTGGGGCTTGAGGTGGGAGGAGGGGATAGGTGGGAGGAAGGACAGGTTAGGGAGGCGGGGACGAGCTGGGCTGGTTTTGGGATGTGGTAGGGGGAGGGGAGATTTTGAAGCTTGTGAAGTCCACATTGATACCATTGGGCTGCAGGGTTCCCAAGCGGAATATGAGATGCTGTTCCTGCAACCTTCGGGTGGCATCGTTGTGGCACTGCAGGAGGCCCAGGATGGACATGTTGTCTGAGGAATGGGAGGGGGAGTTGAAATGGTTCATGACTGGGAGGTGCAGTTGTTTAGTGCGAACCGAGCGTAGATGTTCTGCAAAGCGGTCCCCAAGCCTCTGCTTGGTTTCCCCGATGTAGAGGAGGCCACAACGGGAATAGCGGATACATTATACCACATTAGCAGATGTGCAGGTGAACATCTGCTTGAGGTGGAAAGTCTTCTTGGGGCCTAGGATGGGGGTGAGGTGTAGGGGCAGGTGTAGCACTTCCTGCAGTTACAGGGAAAAGTGCCGGGTGTGGTGGGGCTGGAGGGGGGTGTGGAGCGGACAAGGAAGTCACGGAGAGAGTGGTCCCTCCGGAAAGCAGATAAGGGTGGGGAGGGAAAAATGTCTTTGGTGGTGGGGTCGGATTGCCGATGGCAGAAGTGTCAGAGGATGATGCGTTGGATCCGGAGGTTGGTGGGGTGGTACGTGAGGACGAGGGGATGGCATTTTTGCAGGAAGGTGGATGGGAGGAGGTGTATTCTAGGTAGCTGTGGGAGTCGGTGGGCTTGAAATGGATATCGGTTTCTAGGTGGTTGCCACTTATTCCCAATTCCTTCGCCTCCGCTGCATCTGCTCCCAGGATGAGGCATTCCACTCCTGTACATCTCAGATGTCCTCGTTTTTCAAGGACCGCAACATTCCCCCGCCTCAGTGGTCGAGAACGCCCTCGACCGTGTCTCCCGCATTTCCCGCAACTCATCCCTCACACCCCCTCTCCGCAATAACAACCAAAACAGAATCCCCCTCGTCCTCACGTACCACCCCACCAACCTCTGGATCGAACGAATCATCCTCCAACACTTCTGCCATTTGCAATCCGACCCCACCACCAAAGACATTTTTCCCTCCCCACCCTTATCTGCTTTCAGGAGGAACCACTCTCTCTGTGACTCCCTTGTTCGCTCCACACTCCCCTCCAGCCCCACCACACCTGGCACTTTTCCCTGCAACCGCTACACCTCCCCCCTCACTCCCATCCCAGGCCCCAAGTTCACCTGCACATCTGCCAATGTGGTATACTGCATCCGCTGTTCCCGTTGTGGCCTCCTCTACATCGGGGAAACCAAGCGGAGGCTTGGGGACCGCTTTGCAGAACACCTACGCTCGGTTCGCACTAAACAACTGCACCTCCCAGTCGTGAACTATTTCAACTCCCCCTCCCATTCCTCAGACGACATGTCCATCCTGGGCCTCCTGCAGTGCCACAATGATGCTACCTGAAGGTTGCAGGAACAGCAACTCATATTCCACTTTGGAACCCTGCAGCCCAATGGTATCAATGTGGACTTCACAAGCTTCAAAATCTCCCCTCCTCCTACCACATCCCAAAACCAGCCCAGCTCATCCCCGCCTCAAGCCCCACCCCCATCTCCTACCTACTAACTTCATCCCGCCCCCTTGACCTGTCCGTCCTCCCTGGACTGACCTATCTCCTCCCTACCTACACTGGCTCCATCCTCACCTCTTTGACCAGTCTGTCTCCTCGCCACCTATCTTCTGCTCTATCCATCTTCTATCCACCTCCCCCTATTTATTTCAGAACCCCCTTCCCCTCCCCCATTTCTGAAGAAGGGTCTAGGCCTGAAACGTCAGCCTTCCTGCTCCTCTGATGCTGCGTTCATCCAGCTTTATACCTTGTTATCTCAGATTCTCCAGCATCAGCAGTTCCTTCTAGCCCTTGAGAAGGTGGGGGTGAGCTGCCTTCTTGAACAGCTGCAGTCCACCTACTGTGGATTGACCCACAATGCCCTTAGGGAGGGAATTTCAAGACTGTGGCCCAGTGACACTGAAGGAATGGCAATATGTTTCCAAGTCAGGATGGTGAGTGGCTTGGAGGGGAACTTGCAGGTGGTGGTGTTCCCATTGGCTGTCAAGTGCTTTGGGTCAGTAGCGGGATCATAGAATCTTACAGTGCCAGGGGAGGCCATCTGTAGCTTGTCGCATGTGTGCCAACTTCAAAAAAAGCTACCAATGCAGACACAATGGGGCGAATGGCCTTCTTCTACACTCTAATAATTCTGCAAATTTAGTCCAACAAGCTCTGCGAATGAAGTTTTCAGGTACGTCATAACTGCCTTTCTCGAAGCTGTCCTAAATTTGTTCATTAATCAGGGTGTGTCTGAGGGTGAAGTTAACTTTGTGAACACCACTTTGACAAGCACAATTGGTACAACATGTTCATTTTATTCAGTTTGGTTTATGAGGTAGATATGGCTGCAGATCTTGATGGTATTGCTGACAGTTCTCACCTGATATTGGAAAAACACTCAAAATACATGAGAGCAGCAAGAGAAAGTCATGCTACGTAGCTTTGTATAATAAAAGCATCTCGCTGCTCCTGCACCCTGTGCCTGCTGTAAGTAAACAGCTCCACAAATAACTCTCACTCATCCAAATAATAGTGTTCACAGCTGAGAGTTTCTCAGGCTTGAGATTAGTTTGAGTTCTGAGGCGCAGTCACCTGCTGCTCACATATTCCCTATTTATCTTCAGTTGTCAGGTGCCCTCAGATTACATTTGCCACTTACAGGGGAGGCGATGGAAGAACGTCAGAATTAATATAAATTTGATGGGAATGTATCTCCCCTCCCATCACGTGAGTTAATTTTGCACCTGTCCACTCCCAGATCACACCACTTACCCATTCAGCTTCCCCCTCACCCCACCTCCCAAGAGTTACAAACATATCCTTATTATATTGGCACTTAAAGCCCTACTGCAGGACCAGCCCATATGCTTCTCAGACAGTACTGTAATCTTGTCCTGACACACTCAGCAACAGACCCGGTCAGTCCAGATGCAGGAACAAAGATGCAATCACAAGTCAAGGTCAAGGCTAACCTTACATCAATCACTTCAAAGTTCAGGTTCTGAGGAAGGGTCACCGGACCCGAAACGTTAACTCTGTTTTCTCCTTCACAGATGCTGTCAGACCTGCTGAGCTTTTCCAGCAACTTTGTTTTTGTTCCTGATTTACAGCATCCGCAGTTCTTTTGGTTTTTACCATGAACATTGGGCAGGCTGATGGACCAGTTTATGTTTTCCTGCCCATCACTTTGATGTATTTGAACCCAATCTCTTTCAGCAACAGAGTCAGGGAGCTTAAGGTTTGCAAAGCCAAGACCAGTGGAATGTCAGGTACGAACAGGGGCATTACTGGAGTTATAACAAGTGAACACTGCAAAGGGGACGGAGAAATTTTCCAGGACTGTCCCACCTACTGGTTTGCAGCATTACCACAGGCAACAATCTAGGTGCCTAGGTTTAGCTGTTATTGCATGCTCTGATAGATAATTCTCTGCCAGGTCCCAGCACTAGGACAATGTGGGAGAGACAGTTTGTAAATCTCTCATCACCCGGTAGACACACCTCCCCCACTCCGCCCCAAATGCAAATATAATCACAGCACTGTTTGGAAGACAAACTTCAAAGTATATTTAACAACAGAAAACAATGTTTAAATACCATCCTTTAAGAGGTTATGGGTGAAAAGAGGTTTAATGGAAATGGTTCCCCGAGAGCAATAACCTGATGGTAAAAACCCCTCTGGCCTGGGAATTCACCATTCCATCCCCTCTGGGATCTGGGTTTGAATTGAGTCCAGGCTGAGGAAATGGGAAGCTAGAGTGATTCCTACTGGAGTTCACTGGCTAGCCCTGTCTGTTGCAGAACAGACATGTGACGTATGCCAATAGTAGAGGCCTCCCCATCTAACTACATCAGAAATACTGGAACCAAGACTATGGACATCAGCTGGAGGCTATTTCTGGTGTACCGGAGGTTGATTGCAGAAGAGGAACAGGAAGGGAACAGGAACTCAATGCGGGAAGATTCAGACAATAATAACCAGACAGAGGTTAATAACCTGTAGTTCATCACCACTAACACTATGTGCTGTCCCATCACACCATGGATACAGGACCTATTTGACACCCCATAATGCATCTGGGAAAAGTCTGATAAACTGTTGCACCACTGAGTCAAACAAACCACAAACCCTCTCTGTGAATGTAACAGAGAGACAGATGAGGCTGCAAGTCAGCACAGGGAGCCCAAGTCCCCATTCCCCAGTCACTGGTACAACCGTACCAAGGTGCTGGCTGAAAGGCAAACTGGAAGTACGTGAATTTGTTGGCTGAACACCAGTAACCAACATGATCAGCAGTTTCTCTTCCCACCGGTTTCACGACTGCAGGAGTCCCAGACTGCTGTATGCCGTGGCTATAGAAATGCACCATCCTCCTTCAGGAAAGGAGGACAATTTGAAGTCTGTCTACCAGATTCACCACCACTCCACTCTCCCTCCACGTCACCAACAACAGCTCATGGTCACTCAAATCACAGGTAATCAAGAATTTCAGTCTCCATTTCATTTTCACTTCCTTCTGATGGTGGATACTCTTCCTCTTCATCTTCCTCATCCTCAGCAGATTCAGAATCTTCTCTCCCCTGTGTGACCAATGGCTTCTTTCTTGAAGAGTGTGAAACTAAATGCAAAGTGAAGGAAAAACTCATTAACAGGAGTGTGGAGTCAGTCTCACACAGTGGCTGAGGTGATGACCTATAACCTGTTCTTCTGGCCACCCCACCACGTAAGTGGAGGTGACCATTATCCAGGTCACCCACAAATGCACCTGTATGTAAAAGGAATACTTTCCACTGACTCTCTGCATCATGCCCAGGTTACAGTCAAACTCAGATGGCGTGTGTCAAAGCTGAGCAGATTTCACTGAACCCAGAATATGTAAGGGCAGGGGAACAATGTGCTGAGAAAGGTGCTGTCACAATGGGAGCACAGATGGCATGCAACGCACACACAAGGTCTGGAGGAGTTGGTCACAGTTAGAGGGAAACGGGAAGACGGCAGCCAGAGGGGACTAAGCCTAACCCTAACCGAGAGGTGTTAAACTGTACAGATTTCTTTTCAGCATGCACACTGGCTTCACCTGCTTTGTTCTTGTGCCAGACTTCTTTAATCATGTTAGACATCTGGTCCCGGAGCTCATCGTTGGTTTTCGGCAGACACCACCCATCTCGCTCAGTACATGTCGTCTCTTTGCCTTCATTGCGATGAATTATTTTTCTTAAACTGAAATGGAAGACCAGCCAGAAGGGGACAATTAGAACTGTTTCAAAAATGCCGTTGCTGAGTTGCAGAACCTGGACTGTATGTGCTCTGCCGAATGCAGTCTGCATATCCTGATCTGGATAACTCTATCTGTCCTGTACCCTCTGGGGAATTTCACAGTAGAAATAAACTACTGACAAAAAAAAAAATTTCAATTTATAACAGCACCTTTTCATTTTCGGCCTCTGTTAGAATACTGTGTTCAATTCTGGTCTCCTTGCTATAGGAAGGATGTGAAATTTCAAAGGGTTCAGAAAAGATTTACAAGGATGTTGACAGGGTTGGAGGGTTTGAGCTAAAGGGAGAAGCTGCATTGGCTGGGGTTATTTTTCCTGAGGTGTCAGAGGCTGAGGGGTGAAAAAAATCATGAGGGACATAGATGGGGTAAATAGTCAAGGTCTTTTTTCCAAGGTAGAGGGTCCAAAACTAGAGGGCACAGGTTTAAAGTGAGAGGGGAAAAGATTTAAAAGGGACGTAAGGGGCAACTCTATCACACAGAGAGTGGTGCGTGTATGGAATGAACTGCCAGAGGAGGTGGTGGAGGCTGGTACAATTACAACATCTAAAAGGCATCTGGATGGATACATGAATTGGACAGTGTTTAGAAGGATATGGGTCAAATGCTGGCAGATGGTACTAGATTAATTTAGGTATCTGATTGGCATGGACAAGTTGGACCAAAGAGTCTGGTTCTATGCTGAACACCTCTACGACTCTCGTTTTCAAGTCAAGAGTCACATCCACATATTCCATCTGTCTCTGCCAATACAATCCGAGATACTGCTGATAGGTTAGCGCTGAGGGAGTGCCGCACTGTCGGAGGGTCAGCGCTGAGGGAGT